TTTCTTTTTTAAAATATTTGTTTATTTATTATGTATACAATATTCTGTCCGTGTGTATGCCTGCAGACCAGAAGAGGACACCAGACCTCATTACAGATGGTTGTGAGCCACAATGTGGTTGCTGGGAATTGAACTCAGGACCTTTGGAAGAGCAGGCAATGCTCTTAACCTCTGAACCATCTCTCCAGCCCTGGTGTGGGTTTTTAAGTTGGTATATTTTCTGTTTTGTGGTTCTGGGTTTTTTGTTTATAAGGCAAGTTCCCAAAATGCAGCTTTGGCTGGTCTAACTCACTATGGAGATCAAGCTGTCCTAGAAATCATACAAATATTCCTGGCTTTGCTTCCTGAGTGCTAGTATTAAAGGTATGTGCCATCACACCTGGCTAGTGAGTTATTTATTTCCACTGCTGTTCACATTCAGAAATGGACTCCTAAATCAGCAAGTGAAGGAGATAAAAGGGATACCAGTAGGAAATGAAGTCAAAGTATCCTTATTTGCAGATGGTATAAATCTATGTGTTGGGCCAAAATTATCTCAGAGCTTATACCTCGAGGCCTGTAGGACATAGAAAAGTCTGACTCAAGTTTAAAGGATAGTCTCAAAGCTACTGAGTGAGGATGAGACAGCAAAATCTCGGTAGACACCCCTCCAGCTTTATTTGTCAACTAATGACAGCAACACATTCGCAGTGTACAGAAAGACCATTCCACAGCAGGATTGAGGGTGTGAACTGGGTCAAAACACATTGTATGGATACAAAATTTTCATATAATTATTTTTAAAGAGCCAAGAAAGAAATAATCACAAAATTATCTCAAATAATTCTCATGTATCATTTTTTTCCATGCCTACTAAGATGAAAATAGGAACATTCAGTGATTTTATGTAAGGGAAGACAGATGATTGTATTCATATTTTAATGGAAGATTAATATTAATAAAGCAACAATCACAAAGAATTTGCAAGTCAAAACTTACTTGGATTGGGAAGAAATGATAACTATTCTTTTAAAGTTAAATGGGGGCTGGAGAGATGGCTCAGAGGTTAAGAGCCTTGCCTGCTCTACAAAAGATCCTGAGTTCAAGTCCCAGCAACCACATGGTGGCTCACAACCATCTGTAATGGGGTCTTGTGTCCTCTTCTGGCCAGCAGGCATACACACAGACAGGATATTGTATACATAATAAATAAATAAATAAATGTTAGATGGTAAAGAGAAAGGATGAGGTAGTGCTGGAGTTTTAGAAATTAAACTCAAAAGGTTTCCTAGATTGATTTAGTCATGCATCCTTATAATACCTGAACTTGGGAGGTGGAGTAGGAGGATCACCGGTTCAAATTTATCTTCAGTTACATAGCAAGTTCTAGGCTATCCTGAGCTAAATGAATTCCTGAATCAAAACAAAGAGAAAAAGAGTGATATTTCTCTTAAAGTTGAAGATTTCACATGAAATCAGAAATATGAAGTCACAAGTAATTACAAAAAAGAAAAGACATAAGTTTTGAAATACAGCTCATGAAATAGGGTAGATATGAACACTGAGATATCATTTAAGAATTAATCACAATGAAGATCAATGCAAAAATGCAAGTAGCTTTATTGCACAAGCAGAGATATTATATCAAATTATCCATTTCAGGGACAATGGGGTGTCTTGTAGTCCACTTGCTGGCTGACAACCAGAGTTAGATTCCCAGAACTCACATTATAAAAAGAAAGAACTAACTCATGCAAGTTATTCTCTGACTCCACATGCATACTTTGAAACACACATGCTTGTGCTTGTGAACACAGACATACAGATGTATATACACAAATAAATAAATGTAATTTTTAAGTGTCCATTTCAGCTGTGAAATTCTATAAGCATGGCAGGAAGCTCAAGGTACTCATAGAACATTTAAAAATGATATAATTCACTATGCATACTATTATTTCCAAACACATTTCAAAGCGATTCATACAGCAGTGAATTTAAACCTAGATCACTAATAACCTAGTCATGTGTACTTCAAAATTTATAGCTTAAAAGACAGATGTTGGTATCACTAATTTTGGGTTCTTATTTAACAGACATGGTAACAGTTCAGAGGCCAAGTGTTGTATAATATTAGTATGTGTTATATTTGTTTAAGCTGTAGAATATTTATTTAATGATGCAAACATGCGTTAGATTCTTTTATGTTGCATTTGTTTAACTCTGTGAAGCTGTATTACCTTACCTGTTTGAAACAACTGATTGGTCATCTAATTAAGAGCTGAACGGCCAATAGCAGGGCAGGAGAAACGTTAGGCAGGGCTGGCAGGCAGAGAGAATAAATAGGCGGAGAAATCTGGGGAGAAATTATCGAGGAGCCAGAAAAAAGGGACCAGTCACCCAGTCACACAGCCAGACATGGAATAAGAAGGAAAGAAAAGATATATGGAAATAGAGAAAGGTAAGCCCGGTGGTGGTGGCGCACGCCTTTAATCCCAGCACTGGGGAGGCAGAGGCCGATCTCTGAGTTCGAGACCAGCCTGGTCTACACGAGCTAGTTCCAGGACAGGCTCCAAAACCACAGAGAAACCCTGTCTTGAAAAACCAAAAAAAAAAAAAAAAAAAAGAAAAGAAATAGAGAAAGGTAAAGGTAGAGGGGATACTTTAAGTTAAGAAAAGTTGGCTAGAAACAAGCCAAGCTAAGCCTGAGCATTCATAAGAAAGAATAGGCCTCTCTCTGGCAGGCCGCACAAAAAAAAAAAAAAACAAAAAAAAACGTAAAGAGTAAAAAACAACCAACAATAGCCAAGACTGGGAACAGGGGCAAGTGGTGAAATTAGGGTAAAATCGTGCCATGGATTACCTTCCATAGAAATCCTGCCCACCTGGCAGTGCCTGGTGCTTCACCATGGTAGCATATTCGCATCTACAGCCATGACAGAGTCTTTGGGAGAGATAAGGCTCTAGATCAGGAGGAAGAAGTCAAAGACGGTCACACAGGGAAACTCGGGTACACCTGAGTGCAGCACACTCACCTGGATTGTCCACTGTCTGACTCCTGCCTCTCCCTCTTTTTCTCTACTATGACCTTCTTGTACAGCTGGCACCATGGGGACTTACAAGCCAGGACTGCTTCCCTATCCCAGTTTATGGGATAATGATAAGGCAGGATCTAACCATTCAACAGTTATTCAACACCTACCTAGGCCAAGGCTGAAAGTTAACAGCCTATGGGAAGTTGCATTTATTTGCAGCATCACTCGTCTGTGTATGTTGTACAGGGAAAATGTTTCTTCCTCTTGTGCAAAGATGGACCTTGAGAATAAGAGATGGTGAGCTTCATGGGCCAGTATTCTTAAAATTTGAAAAGAGTTGTGTAATATACTTATCCCCATAATCCTGGTCCTTGTATCTCTGACTCTAAGGTATAAGAAAAAGAAAGGCTTTACCCAAAGACAGTTGTCTCATCCATGCAAGTGCAGCTGAGGATCTGGCTTCACGCAGATCTTTTAACTGAGATAGGTCAGGGTTGGGCAGAGTATCCATTTGTATTGTAAGTCTTAGTGTATTTGGGCAAGTAAGTACCTTGAGCTCAGCTTTTGATTGACTCCACATTGGGCAACAAAGCCAAGCAGCTCCGATTTCATCAGCAGAATGCCATGAAACAGACAGATGCCTCCACAGTCACAGCCAAACTAGTATCCAAGGACCAAAATAGCAGTCAGATGACCACAAGGGCCAGTTTACCACTTTCTGTCCAGAACCCAGAAACAGCAGCAGCTAAAAGTAGTCACAAAACTCACATGCTTTGGGAGGAACAGCAGGGACAGCACTATCCTGAGAGGGACACAATGAAGTCGCTCCGTTTCATTTCTGCTGAAGCCTTGGTGTCCCATCCTCGGGTGGCCCAGGAGAGCCTGGACCATATAGCCTACAACCTCTATCCACTCCTGTTCAAGGCCAGTTACCTGCTAGAACAGGCAGAAGTAACCCGTGCTGTGCTGAGTCACTGGCCACTAGAGGAGTTCCGGTTGGCTGTGCTGCTGGGGCCAAACACTGACCACCCAGAAGACCTGCGTGATCGTGCCTGCAAGGCCTGCTTAGAGGCCTGTATGCAGGGCCTTGCTGACCATGTGCTGCAAAGTAGGAGCAACCGGCTTCGGGTAGCTGATTTTACAGGCATCCAGGATGTACAGGTGCAGCAATGTCCTTGTGGGAGGGCACTAGGAAGGTGGGGCCGCACTAAGGTGCTGGTCAGGATCTGCTGCCAGCTCCAAGGACAGCCCTGTACAGCTAGGCATCCTATTGAAGTCTTTGCTGACCTCTTTGTCACGGAAGGCAACTTTGACATGGTGGTGCAGGCCTTGAAGCCAGCAGGCCCAGCCCCTCTGCAAGTCTGCTGCCCTTCACTCCGGGCAGATAGCCTGAGTCCTGGGCAGCTCCTACAAGTGCTCGGCCTAGCTGGGCCAAGCAAGCTAAGAAAGTTGGAGGTAGTTCATAATGTACGATTGCATGCTGGCCATGTACAGCAGCTGCTGGCCCAGGTGGGCCTCCCTCAGCTGACCTCACTCACCCTACCCACGAAGGCCTTTGATGCACCCCCTACCTGTGCCCCAACTCCAGAGGGTGAAGACCCACTCCTCACCTCTATTGCCTGGGAGCTCAGCCAGATGAACAAGCTCACCGAGCTAAGTGTAGCTTTCTCTACACTGACTGGAAAGATCCGCACACTGCTGAGGTAAGTCTCAGAAAACGGCACAGATTGGGTGGAGTTACTGAAGATAGAGATGGGATCTGCTTACACAATGCTCTCTGGGAATGTTTGGCCGGAACCACAGGAGTTAAGAACCATCAGGAAAGAATCAGAGCATAAGACAACTTGGAAGGTTTCTTTCAATTAACAAAAGCCAGTCGTGGGGGCTTGGCCATAATCCCAGCACGCAGGAAGCATAATCATTTTACATTTGAGGCCAACTATCAAGAAAGGCCTTATCTCAAAGCAGAAAACAAGGGCTGAGCATATAGTGCAGTTCAGTAATAAAGCACTAGCAGATCCCAGTTTTAATTCTCAGCATCAGAAGAGGGAAGAGAAGGGAGGGAAAGAGGGCACTAATTAGAAAGTAAACAACACAGGAGGCACAACTAGATCTTCTACTATTGTTGTATAACAAATTACCCAATGTTTAGTGTCTTAAAACATTTTCCCAGGCAAGGAATGGGAATATAGTTCAGCATACTGAGAATGTTGGGTCAGTTGTCAGGTGAACTGTTGTCTCACCTGAAACTCCGGCACTGTTATAGCCTCCTCAGCAACTCCGTTATTGAAGAAGGGCAGGAGGGCAGCAGCCAGGTAATGATAAAGCTAAGGTATCTTCATGTGGGACCATGTGTGGTCAGGCCGTGGGGAGACAGCAAAAACAGGGTATTCAGGACAAAGAACAAGATCCCAGTGCATACTGCCTTGCCTAACAAGAGCAGTGATGGACATGTTCCCAGAGAAATCCAGCGTCTGGCGGAAAAATGTATATTCTCATGAATCCTGGGTGGAGATTTATTTCAGAGACACACCTCCCCCATCTGATACAGAATGCCTAGTGAATTCAGGATATGGAGTCCAAATTCAGCATGCTGGACTTCCCTTCCCAGCCCTGAAACTGTATTGGTTCTATTGTCATCAGAGTGACGATACCTTCTTTCTAGCCAATTCTGTCTTTTGATGAGCCCAGTCAATATTCTGACAATTCTGAGATCATGTGCATAACTTTCCTAACCCAACTTGAAGTATGGTGTTGGTCCATTTTAGGTTTAATTATTGACTGTTAAGCAGGACCAGCAGCCATAGACTGACAGAAGAAACGTGTAACTTTCACATGTCAAACTATTTTGATTTTTCTAATTGCTTAAAAATATCAGTCATTCTTAACTCAGAAGCCACGTGAAATGAAGTGTCAGCTGGAGTTTCTGGTAGGCTGCCATCTATGGTCCCTAAGAGAGAAAGGTGGATGGATTGTCCATTGCCACCAAAACTCTAGCTCACCTGGGACCCTCATAACATTGTGATGTTTTTGCCTACCTCACAGCCCCTTGAAGACTCCACTAAGAGTGTTGGACCTAGCCAACTGTGCCCTTAATCATGAAGACATGTCCTTCTTAGCAGATTGTAAGCATACTGCCCACTTGGAGGTGCTGGACCTCAGTGGACACAACCTGGTCCATCTGTACCCTTCTACCTTCTTCCAGCTGCTGAGCCAGGCTGCCCAAACACTAAGAGTGCTCACATTAGAGGAGTGCAACATCACAGATAACCATGTTGGCATGATGATTCTGGGCCTCAGTCCTTGCAACCAGCTCCAGGAGTTCAAGTTCCTTGGAAACCCACTGTCAGCCAGTGCTCTCCAGCGCCTTTTTGCTGCACTCTGCGAACTCCCTAGGCTGCGCCACATTGAGTTTCCAGTGCCAAAAGAATGCTACCCTGAGGGCACTACCTACCCCCAGGATGAGCTGTCTGTGTCCAAATTTGATCAACAGAAATATGACATGATTGCAGAGGATTTGCGAGCAGTACTGCTTCAAGCTAACCGGGAGGACATCCAGGCCTCCACTCCCCTTTTTGGAAGTTTTGACCCAGACATTCATGAAACCAGCAATGAACTTGGTACTTTCTTGATGCAAGCTTTCAAAACTGCTTTGGAAAACTTTTCCAGAGCACTAGAACAAATGGAGTAGGTCCTGCAATTATGCTTTAAAAAAAGGAAAAAAGGCTGTGCATTTCAACTGTGCCCTGAGGTCAGTCCTGGATCTGTCACCAGCAGCATCACTGCCACAGAATTCCTTAGGGAAAACTACAGGCATACTCATTACATGCTTTAAAAAGAAGCCCAGATATATAAATGGGTGTGTGTCAGTACAGCAGGAGCCTAAAGCAGAGGGGAAGTCACCCAGAGTGAAGGACCTATCACCTAGGTAGAAGGTGGAAAATGTGGACACCAGGGAAGAATGTACTGTGAGCAGGGTCAACTTGACTCTGATGCTGTGAGGAGGAAGAAAAGAGAAAATTCATCACAGAAAAATGTATAAAAGCAGCATCCCATAAAACATAACAAGAAAAAAGACACTGAAAATGAAAATAAAAGTGAACTGAAGCCCTGAGCCCAGCAGAAGCTTTCTTTGTTATATCTGTTGTACTTTTTACCAGATGACATCTGACTACACAGAAAGGTGTGGGATGGGGGTGGTGATCATTTTTCTGTCCACAGCTTTCTTGGCTTTGTTTCCAATCTTGGCAGTTTTGCACCATCTTTTGGTGACTGAGGACATCTAGTTGCTGAAATATTCCCAGTATTTCTTGAAATATTCTGACCCTGTTTTCTGCTCTGCATCCAACCCTAAGACAGGCAAGTCCAACCTGAACAACCACAAGTGTCAGGGGATAACTATGAATGCAGCCCATGACAAAATTTAAACTTAAGACAGATTATTTTTATGAAACTTGTCATGAGTCAATTATATAGTTTTCAAGCATGAACTTTGTAGATGATAACATGTCTATAATGCCTCCAAATTACTCCTTTGTGATGTTCCTCAGAATGGCTGCGTCTGGCACTTTGCAACTCCTTTAAGGAAAAAATCACCACATGAGGAAGATCTGTTTGGACTTCATTTACAGTATCTGCCTTGCAAAAGTATTAGTGTAATTAAATGCTAATAAAAAAGGAGTGTGGCTTAATTTATGTACAGTCTATTTCATTAATATTCTCAATTTTAAAATTAGAATATGAAAATAATTTTCTTGGGACAGAGTAAAAGCTTAGCTCCATAACCACACATGTACCAGCCAAGGGTCTGCCGTGCTATCTCCCCCTCTAAGTCCCCATACCAGAGTACTTACTTCCATTTGACCCCTGAACAGCAATAAAAATATGCTACTAACAATTTCAGTTTAAAAAGGACAGAAAGCAGTCATGTCATAGATGCAAACTGCTGATGTGATTCTCATGTAAAATGTGTCCTCATTTTAAGAGATAAACCTCAGAGAAAGCCATGAAATGATCTGTTCAAGCTCACATGGCAGATCAGCGAATTAACAGAAACTAAATGCATTAGGAAACAATCTGAGAAAACTGTTGTTTTAGATTACTAGAACAAATAACTTCTTAGAGATAGTTCTGGTAATACAACAGAAAGGTATGGTAAGTATCCATTGAGAAGCGCTTTAACTGGAATCAGCTGGCTGTAGCTGAGAGAGCCTGCTGTCAACTCTAGTGCTCCTCAATCATTCCATAACTGAACTGTTTTCTGTGTAAGTATTTTCAAGTTTGTCATATTTCTATTGAGAAGGATATGCACATGGTGGAATACAGGATCTGAACATAAACTAACCACTTTATTCACTTCCTGCCTTTCCACTGACAAATAACCACATATAGGCTTCCTAGTTTTAGAAATACTCAGTTCAGACCCACTCCACAAAATACTACCATGACCTAGGCAGATTACCGTCTCTCTATCAGGCTCCAGATCCTGTCCTCCAGAAAATAAGGCTATGTAGAACTCACTTAAAAGACTTCATACTGACTGCATCCAAGCACAAGGCTAGTACCTAACAGGCGGCTGGGAACCTGGATGCTGGGAGTTCCCAGAACTGTAACTAGTGAGTGATGCCTACCACTTTCCTTTCTTTGGGAACGGAACTGTTATATATTATATAGAACAGTTACATGAATAGCCCTCACTCCATCAAAATCTTGATAGTCACCAGTGAGCTTTCCAGGGTACCTGTCATAGATCACAGTTTGCTCCTAACTAAAAAATGTTCCCCGTGATTCCATAGAGTATGACTTTTAGGGGCTCCACCTGGTTCCTCTAGACTTGATCTACATGCCTTTTCTTTGCTGATTTTCTTGTTATAAGAGATGTTAGCCATGAGGGGAACCACAGGTGAAATCTTAGAAAACCATGGCAAGTCATAGAATCTGAATATCTTGGCTGGGCGGTGGTGGCGCACACCTTTAATCCCAGCACTTGTGAGGCAGAGGCAGGCGGATCTCTGTGAGTTCAAGACCAGCCTGGTCTACAAGAGCTAGTTCCAGGACAGGCTCCAAAACCACAGAGAAACCCTGTCTGGAAACAATGAGGACTACTGAGAACTCAAGAACAATGGCAATGGGTTTTTGATCCTACTGCACGAACTGGCTTTGTGGGAGCCTAGGCAGTTTGGATGCTCACCTTACTAGGCCTGGATGGAGGTGGGTGGTCCTTGGACTTCCCACAGGGCAGGGAAACTTGATTGCTCTTTGGGCTAACAAGGGAGGGGGAGGGAAATGGGAGACGGTGGAGGGGAGAGTCAGTAATCTTTAATAAAATAAAAAATTAAAAAAAAAGAATCTGAATATCTTGGGAAATTATCATTTACAAGATAAAAAATAGTACTTAGCTCATAAAACCAGATTGCATGACAAAAAGTCAACTCATATAAGCTGTATGTAAATAGGTTATAAGTACTTATCTACGTTTTAAATAATGTTAAAAACTGACAAATTACCAACCCAAGAGTAGTTATACACATTTGTAAGTCCAGCACTTGGGAGTCTGAGGCAGGAGGGCTGCACATATGAGGCCTACTTGAACTATGCAGCAACACTCTGTCTCAAAAAAAATAGTAAAGAATCGCACAAATAAAAAGTGGCACTATTATTTTAAATGACAGATATTGTTTGCGTACATTGCTAATAAACATGCTTATTGGATATAGGAACAGCTCACTTCTAGGTGTTCACTGGGACACAATCTGGGAAGAAACATTTGGTGGTTGTTTGTGTTTTCTTTTTTTTTTCTTTATGGTAAAAAATGCCCCAAACAAGATAAATCTTGAAAATACAGCTATGGTGCAGCAGAACTGTCTGTATTCTGTCAATCATGTTTTAAAAAAAACACTGGTTGGCCAGGCAGGAAGTATAGGTGGGACAACCAGACAGGAAATAAAGGTGGGACAATGAGAACAGGAAAATGCTGGGAAGAAGTCCATTCCTCAGCAGTCCTGCCCAGACCACAAGAGGCAAGATGCAATCTGCCTTGCTGAAAAAGGTACCGAGTCTAACATAGACAAGAATAATGGGCTAATATAAGTTATAAGACCTAATACGAAGCCTGAGCAAATGGGCAAATCAGTTCATATCTAATGCAGACTGTGTGATTTTTCTTTGGGACTTGCTGGCTGTGGGAACTGAGCAGAACAAAAACCCCAAAAAGCCAGCCCCACATGTTACACAACTGCATTAACCAATAACTTCTAGATGGAATCAGGGGAGACCAGTAATTGGAGGAGAGGTAAAAACTGATAGAATATTTCTTAGAGTAAGAATATTATATTTGAGCTTTAAATCTTTTCTTTAACCTAGAACTAAAATATAAAGTTGTACTTTTTCTACTAAATATTAACAGCTCAAAAATGCTTCAAAAAACTGAATCTCTAATAGCTACAGAGCATCAGAGAAAAAAACTTATCTGCTAAGTCCCTACTGCACTGTTCAAAGGGTGGAAAGACCTGAGTTCTCACAAAGAGTAGCTGTACTGGGTCACATCTGGTAAGCAACAGACTAAACATCAGAGAGGCCAGAATGCAAGTTGCCATTGCCATCTGGCCTTAAGTTTCATTTCATTCTTATTTTTCTAGTATGACTTTTTCTACTTTCTTAAACTTTTTAAGTTCAACAAGTAGTTCCCAATATTTGAGATACATCCACATGAGCCTCCCGTTTTGACGTTTGTTGGTGTTCCAGACATCTCCACAATGCTTATCATGCTTAAATATGTCAGATAAGCCAGCAGCCATCTCTAGGTCAGCAGCCACCGGATCAATGGACGAGCGTACCAGTAAGCTCTTCTCCAGCTCTAGCCTTGTACTACGGGGAAGGACCAGGCTGCAGTAGATATTCTGACGTTCTACGAGAGCTTCTCCCACCTCCTTCAGCATAAGCTGGGCTCTCCTCTGCCAATCATCCTCTTCTTCCAGGCAGCTCAGATAGACACTTTTCAGAGGCTGCAGCTGGCTTTTCTCTTGCATTATCTGAGCTCGTTCCTGCTCAAGAAGCTTCCTTTCTTCTGCCAACTTACGCCCCTGAGAGATAAGAGCTTCTCGAAAACTAGTTGTTCTATTTTGCTCCTTTTCCAGTTCCAAAGATAGTTGAGCAACTGCACGCCGATGTTCTGAGATCACAGCATGGTATTTAGCTTCAAGATCCTGTTGGAAAGCAGTTGTTCTCTGATGATATGCTTCTTTTGCTTTTTCTATTTCTTTCTGGGATTCCCTAGACCAAATCCAACCTGACAGGAGGAAGAGATGAGGAAGACACATGAAGAGACACAACTAAAATCCTATGACTACTAAAGGAAAATATGTAACACAGTGATTACAGCATTTCAGTAAAAGACTAAGAATTCAAAGTACTAAGACACTGAAATTTCATAGATAACAAAATACACAAAGTTCTTATCCTAAACTCAGATCAGTACTGGACACCTAAAGTAGTACATTCAATGCCTGTGTTCTGGTGTCTAACTTCCATGGCTGGAAAAAATAATCACTGTTTTGTTTTCAAATCTATCATTTATGTGCTCTGCCTTGGTGCTCCATGACTTATTGCCAATGTTTAAAAAATTACTATAGTAGGCTTCAAATATTGTTGGAAGTCATACTTGGGTTTACCTAATTATCATTTGTATACGGCTTAAGTCTGGTGAGTTTGCCATTATGTTTTACAAGAATAAGGTGAAGACGTTCAACTTAGGTTAGACTTGTAGCAAATACTTGTAATCCCAATACTTGGGAGACCAAGAAGGAGGAGTATTCCAAGCTCAAGGCCAGGCTGGACATCCAAAATTTGCAGGTTTCAAAGAAAAATAGTCACACCAAAGCCCAGGAAGATCAGATATTTTGGTGTTATCTGACAAAGACTTTAAGACAGTCACATAACTTCATTCCTCCAGTTATATAATATTATGGATCAACTGGTTCCCAGATTTCAGAGGAAACTGTGGCTATGAAGTAACAGGTGTTCCTTCATAATGTGAGGTTATCTTGCCTATGCCGACCATACGATCCTGAGTCTCACGTGAGTCTGTATGAGGTAACCAGTAGGGGAAACTGAGTAAAGGCTACTGATCTCTCTGTGCTACTTATTACAACTGTATGTGGTCTACAATGATCTCAAAATTGTCTCTTTTGACTACACTGAATTGTACTGTGATTAAGCTCAGTATACCGGACACTTCATGTTTTAGATATAAGACAGTTTCTTTTCTACTCAAGAAAAGGTGAGGAAGGGAGAGGGGTGAAGGAAGAAGGGGAGAATGAACAAAGAAATAGAGAATGAGACAGAAGGCAAAACAGAGACAAGGAGATCTAAGACTGCCAAAGGGTGACAGAACTCTTCAAGGTTAGCACAACTTTACCAGTTCTGAATTGTATTGAAAATTATGAAATTTGGGGCTATGGATGTAGCTCAAT